TCTAGGTTTAGACTCTCAGATTCCTTCTCTTCCCTACTTATGTTCACTTGCTACAGAATCACACACAGTTCCATCACTTTGATCCCACCCACATATTAATATTTCAAACCCAGTCCTGTTCCTGAACTCCAGGCTCATATACTCAATTATCTCTTGGATGGCTAATATTCACCTCAAATTCAAATCTATCATCCCCAGATCTAAGCCCCTGATTCGCCTTCCCATAAACCTACTCCACCTATATTTTCCCCATCTTGGGAAACAGTAACTCCATCCTTCTTGCTCACACCAAAAAACCTTGGAAGCATCATTGGATTCTTTTCACGCTCACCTACATTCACGGATACTGTTATTTCTGCCTTGGACATAGACTCCGAATCTCCACACTTCTCACCCTCTTCCACATGTACCAACCTGGTATGATCCAACATCATCTGTCACCTCTGTTCTTGTAATACCTTTCCAATCGGACCCCGGTTACTACATTGTCTCTATTATCAACACATCAGACTGGCGTTTTACTATGTGAAATATATCACTCCTCTGCTCTGAACACCCCACTGGTTTCCTGTCGCACGTTTTCTATGACCTACCAAACACTATAACATCCCATTCACTCCTAACTCATCTCCAGTTGTGGTACTCCTCCTGCACAAGGTTCCAGACAAGGTAGCATTCTTGCTATTTCTGGAATGCCAGAAGCAGAGGGGCAAAAGGGGCTGCCACAGGCCCAGTACCAAGGGATGCGCTTCTCCACCACCCGGAAGCAAGACAGGGCGTTTTGCATCCAGGGTTGGCATGGTGTGGCATGGTGAAGAAGGAGCAATATGATGGAGACCTTCTGCCCAGGGTCCTGGAATCCAGATGCTGGGATAACAGGGAATCAGATAGTCCTACCCTGAATATCTATGCGTATGAGCAACCCTAGTAGAGTAATGCCAATTCTCTTTCAACAACCAAACATCTTCTCTCTTTGTCTTGCAAAAGGAGAGCAATCTAGGAGCGCATCTCAGGGCACCCTGTTGCATGCAGTTCTCATTAGCAGGGAAGCCTCTCTGAGCTGTGGTCCAAGTAGCTTGAGGCTTCAAAACAGAGGGAACCTACAGAAGCAATGACCATTCTTGTGCCCTCCCTTTCTCCCTCAGCCTTTCTTCTATATTTCAAGGGAAATGGACACTCAGAGGACAGAGACCCTATCCTGGCCAATCCAGGCCAAACCAAGTGCTCTCAGTGGAAAGGCAGTTTGAGATACGCTGCTCAGTCCTTAAGCTTCGGTTCCCAACTCCCTTTCTAACCGTTCCCCTTTATTAGGGAAGTAATCCTTACTGTTTGGGACTCCCTGAGTAGTATATAAAGCAGGTGATTCCTTGTAGGTCATGTTCAAAGAGACTAGGAAAGTGTCTCGTGGATGGGTGTCTGCAAAGACTATACTACTAATGCAGCTGAACCTCACTAGTTCATAACTACCTGGGGCTATTATTTACCTGAAATATTTAATAGAAAACAAATACTGGTGATTCTATGAACCCAGTATTTATTTAAAGTCAGCTATCAAGGTGTTGACAAGCGGCAGTCTTAAAAGCAGTGCTGTAGAATGGGTATATCACTAGACTAAGATACAAATGGCCTGGGTGAGAGCTCTGACATCATCCAATAGTAAATGCATGACTCTGGGCTTTTCTATCAATTTTTTGAAAACAGCTTTAAGTGGTCTGGAAAGAGATGTTGATTAACTTGCCCAATGTTGCACAGCTAGGAAGTGACATTGTCCAGATCGAGTTTGTAATCATTCTGATATAATGTCCTCTCCCCGGCATGTGCTTAGTGTATACATATGGTAACTAGAACAAAAATGTCTCAGGGAGCAGGCCCCACTCTGATAATTCTTTCCAACTTTCTTTGCAACTAGTCTCAAACCTTGCCTGCAGAGAGTTCTTAAGACGTTGCTCAGTATTAATTAAGGAGAAAAAAAACTGTTGAGTGAGAACTCTCACTGTCTGGAGATTCCCTCTAGGAATGGAGGAAACCATGGCATCCTTGTTTGAACTGGAAGGGTGCTTAGGGGTTGGTCTAGATATGGAGGATTTAGGGACAGTGATTCTGGGGCTCGGAGAATTGCGTTGAAATTCACATCTGCCAGTCCAGCTCAGCTTTTCCCTGGATTGTAAGGCGGATTCATTATGGCTCGAGTGTCTGTACAGAAACTGATGGAGAGAAGGGCTGTAAAAGACTTTCCTATCCACTCATCTTCTCCAAAAGAGGGCACTTCTGGGCCTCAGCAACTGAAAATGAGTGTATTCTCAACATTTGCTCCCCAGGAAGGATCCCAATCACAGAGGATCGCAAAGGGGATTCTGGATGGCATTGAATATACAGGACGATGAGCTCATATCTAACCAACGCTCATTCTGCAAGGCCCAACTTTGCCCAAATTTCGATACCTGGTGGGTATCAATGGCCCAAATGGTGTGAAAATAAACTCAGACTGTACCATTTTCCAAGTTAATTCATACAGATAAGATTTGGTCCAGTGTTCTAAAGGCTTGATGGTGATTAAGTTTTTAAGTTTTGTTTACCAACACCCGCTTCCACCACCAAGTGTTTTTTCTAGGGGATGCTAATTCTAATTTTCTTCAGGAAGAAAGGAGAGTACTCGGGCCTCTCATGGCCTTCGAAGGAGTGGGTGTAGTCACAGAGAGACTACTCCTTTTCCCTCACCGTAGGCATGTGCTCCGTGTAATTCTCACCATTGTCACTTCTGGGAAACTGCATTTGGCATCTGTGATAAAGGGGCTATTTCCCACTTCTGTTTTTGCATCCTGACCTCCCCTGGGCAAGGCGGGCCATTGTTCTTTCAGGATTGCCAAAAGGACAAAACGTTGCCAAATACTTCTGAAGGTTCATAAATGTTGACGTTTGACTTTCCCTAGATGAAAGCCGGCAGATAAGGCTGGCAGCTTGCACGAAGAGAGAAAACTGGACAAGACTCATAGGACGGAGTAGGGAGATTGGACATAAGTGTACACTCTACACCTAGACAGCTCTCATGGAGCCCAAGCAATGGAACAAGGAAGAGTCTGGAGAAATTTCAGCCTCACTTTCGTCCTCCTTTGGAGGGCTATTGTCGTGCCCCTCCCATCCTGGCATGCAGCCCTTCCTCATATTTCTCGAGTCAACAAATTCAAATGAGAACACAGCGCAGGCTGAAGGGGCCTCTGGTGCAGTGCACTGGAAACGGTGTGAACCCTAACCAAAGGCAGCCTGACTCCAATCCCAGCTCTCACTGAGTGCTGTGTGGCCGAGGGCATATTGCTTAAGCCTCAGTTTCCTACAGTGTCAAATGGGATGATTAATATGCTTTTTTGGAGAACTGGTGGAAGGAGTCGAGCTAAAGGAAGTGAAAAACCCAGCATAGTATTTGGCACAAATTCAGTACTAAAAAAGTCGGCAGCTTCACACCACTGTTGGTTCCGGGGCCACGCTTCCCCTTGGCAAGTTTCTCTCCACTGGCGTGCCCAGGAGAGCTGATGTGCTTTCGGATCCAGAAACTGTACCAATCCAAAGTCAGAGCAAGAAAATTTTGGTACCTTAATCTGTTTGTGTCCCCGCCCTTCCCTGCCTCACACGCATGTACAGATCAAGGGTCCAAGGAGGCCGAAGAATGAGAGGTCTCAGTTTAGTAGGGAGGCAGGACTCTACTTCAAGGTAAAGGTTTTGAGCTGAATACTTTCCTGCCTCCCAACTCCACCCCCATTGCATTTTCTAGAACCTCTTTAGCTCGTATTCTTGTCACCAGAAATCCTGCCCGTGGTGTTCGCTTTTCCTTGGAATGTTATCACAGGCGAGATTAACCAAGACATAGTGGGAGCTGCATGTCCCGGGTATCTGGGGTGCGCCCGAGTAGTGGCTTCCCCAAGAGGTAGCTCTAATTTGGCTCCGGCACAGTGGTGAGATCTGGGGCCCGAAAGGGTATATCTTCCGTCTTCTTGTCCCCTCCCCTGGCGAAATGGTTGTGTTGTTCTCTTCCTAAGGCTGACGAAAGTGTGAGGAAAGTTTTATAACGCAATCCCATCTGGCAGGAGGTGGCAGTTGGGAGTAGCCCGTAGTGATTAAATGGATGAAACGGCAGAAAGCTTGTGGTACCAGGAGGTGAGAAAGCATAAAACTTACACTACTGGGAGTCAGTCCCCCTCCTCCGCTCCCCGCTTCACTGTCATAGGTGACTCCACATAACATCCACCACGAGCCAGGGCTCCCTTACCGGAATCATCACCTGCTGGCGCTCTAGGGAAGTCTTGAGGAGAGCCACAAGCAGGATTAGAAGCTGTGAAGAGGGACCAGGATGAAGAGTGTCAATGTACTAACACTAACCTTGACAGCGTGGGCGAGGAAACAAACCGCGCTGGCAGAAGCTGCCATGCAGAGGGCCTCCAGGTGGACTGTTCAGTGTGACCCAAGATCCCAGACCAGCCCCTCTCTGATGATATGGACCTTTGTTACTTCTGCCACGGCCTTATCTCTTACTCCTCCCTTGAGCTCGACATTGTGTTTCTGAGATATTTTAAAATCTCCTGAAGGTGTTTTGCATAGTGTCTCTGACTTCATGAACCATCCTTCCCTCCTCTCCCTAACCTCAGGTCTTAGAAAAGAAGTCACTAAAGGACAACTTGTCCCCAGGCTTCCATACCACCTCATCTTCTACTACCGTCACCCCTGACCACTCCGCCATTCGTCCTTTGCTTCAGATTCTTGTCCCTGCCCCAGCGCTGCTTGTACCCATCGCCTTCTCCACTGTCTTCTCCCAGCACCTGAAGTTTAGCCGGCAGTTACTCCTGTGCATTCATGGCGCTCTGAGCTCACTCCTATTACACTACTCGCCACAGCAATAATATAATGGTCGGTTTGCTTCCATGGCCTCTCCCCTTAATCCCTGGGGCACAGAGGGGTCTTCTTTACTCTTCTAGTCCCAGCATAAAGGACTGTTCTCAGACCATGGCAGGTGATTAATAGATGTTTTGATTTTTTACTACACTCTGCAACAGCAAAGCAAATACAGTTAAATGCCAGTCATTTTTTTTTCATTTTTTTTTTTGTACAACAGTAGACACAAATGGAGGTCATACACCATAGGTAGTTTGTTTTTGTTGTGTACGTGTGTTTTACTATTGTTACTTAACTCCTGTACCGGACCATTTTACTGATTATTTCAAATGGTTAAGGAACGACTTAATGTTCTCTTCCACATCATAGGAAGACGTAAGTATTATCAATCCGTTTTTACACAGCAATCTTTACTTTGACAGTGAAATGAGGCAGGGGATGGCAAATGACCAATTTCATTCATAAACACTGATTAAGAACCTAATTCAAGGGTGTATTACAAGGGAAAAAATACCATTAGAAACGGAACACAGATAACAAGCACAATGTGGACTTCCCACCCCAACCCTGCTCGACTTCTGATTTGGGGCCCCGCTGTCCATTTACTCAGGGCCCCTTTAACTGATGCCGTCCAATCGAAGTGATACGTTTTCCCCAGAATTCACATGGGGCCAAAGAAGAACGTGGCAGTTGCCTCGGATCTGGCTCTGGCCTCCTCATCTTCAACAGCCTCCCTATATTGCTCTGGCCAGTCCTGCGGTCGCTTTCTGTAAATCCTGGCCATGTGCTCCAAAGCTTTCATTTTGGTGGTTTCAAGGTGAGCTCGAGGACCCCATAGAAGCTCACATTCGATTGGATTAGAGTAGGACAGTGGCCTGCATTCCAAGTAGCGCTGCCTCATAAGCTTGCAGGTGATGGCACGCTTTCTCCCTACATCCATGCCAAATCGACAAAGCAAATTCCAAATGTTGGCCTCTTTGACACGATTGCCCATCAGGAAGATCAAACCCAGGATCGTCATCACGTAGTCTTGAGTGGGTCTCCCCAGGCTCTCCAGCAACATTTGCTCTTCCTCTGATTCCGGTTGCTGGACGAGGAGGTAGATGTGCTCACTGGTGTCGACCTCGATCAGAGAGAACCCGTAGAACAAGTCAAGGATTAGAGTAGCTCGACTGAGGATATTTGGGAACACGTCCTCGAATTCTTTGCCAGTGTGAGCCAACAGCTCATCCTGATGTATAGGCAGCAACTCCTCAGTGACATTAATGGCCAACTGAACCAAGTCATTTGCCTTATCAGTCATAGTGTCTTCTGACCAGAACTCTAGGCCAGCAGCCTGGCTTCTCTCTTTGGCCTTGTCAGCTTCCAGGGCCTTGCTATATTTTTCTGGCCAGCTCCAGGGTTCCTCGTCGTGGGCCTCTGCCACGAACTTCAGGGCTTCCGTCTTTGTGATTTCCCGGTGGGCTCTCGAGCCCCACAAGAACTCAAATTCAAGGGGGTTCGTGCCATACACTGGCCAGTACTCCAAGAACCGCATGTGCACCAAGTCGGCAATGAGGACGTTCTTCGTGTTCCCGAAGACGCTGTTGATCCTCTGGGGCTCATCCAGCACATTAACCTTCAGAAGCACGTCCCAAATGGAGGCCTCTCTTGCCCGGTTGCCATTCAGGAGGATATGGCCTAGGACCAGGGCCAGGAGACCTGCCTTTGGCACATCGAGGGATTCTGCTGTCTCGTCAGTGGTCTGGAGACCGCGTTTGCTGATTAAGTTGTAGGTGTCCGCCTGGGGATCAAGGACCCTTAGGTTCAACCCAAAGACCTGATCCAGGTGGGCTGAGGCTCGTCTGAGGATCTCAGGGAACTGATCTGAGTATTCTCTGAGGAAGTCCAGCATCTCTGTCTGCCGAATAAAACCCTCGGCTTGGTTTTTCATCCGCATGAAATTCACCAAAGCGATCGACTTGTCCTCTAGCGGGTCGTGGACCCGGAGCGCCCCCAAGCGTCGGGACTGCTCATCGATCAGGACCTCGAGGTCGTTTGCGCCCTGCGCAGCCTGGGAAGCGCCGGCACCCCGAGGGTCAACTGGCGCCAGAGGGCGCTGGGGGGCGTCGGCAGCTAGCATGGAGGTTGGGGACCCGGAGTCGCAGGGAGCCTGGCCCTCACCGCGGCCGTCGCCGTAATCTGCGGTGGCCTCTGCGGTGCCGGGGCGCGCGTTTCGGCTTACCAGAGGCATGGTTCCAGGAGACGCGAGCGGACACGGGGAGGTCGGCGATCGGTCGGAGAGAGCACGGCGGGCGTGTCGGCGCCTCGGCAGGGAGCCCGAGC